TGTTTTAGTTATTTTGTTATTTATTATTAAAAAAGGTGACATGGCTGCTAGATTTTGAATAACTCGCTTTTTTGGCAGTCTTGATTTGGCCTCTTTCCATTTGTTTATTACTGTTTGCTCGTGTTGTCAGCTGTGCACCATCTTACGTTAGTGTTAACACTTTTAGTATGGTAAACACAAGTATTGTTAGCATTGTAAACATAAGTAATAAGTAATCAAATACATTGTTTGCAAGAATCTCAAAACACAATACACAATGATGCCAAATAGCTTTAAAATGCAACTGAAACAGTAACCCGGAAATTTAGGCAGTCCCGAGCTTGCAGCGTTCCCTAGTGTAGAAAACACCATCCATATGTTTGAAGACTCGAGTGAGAATTTGATCGGCGAATTTTTCTTTTTTAAATATATTTCACCAATCGGTTTTTCGCTCGCATCTTAGTGTATGCGAAACTTTCGTCTGAAGTATGAATGGCCCTTACATGGGCTTGGGTTGGGATTGCAAAAGACATACATATAGACATATCCCTACATTGGAATAGAAATGTATCCTTATGCCAAAGATGCTCATGCGTTCGAAGTTCGTATAAGTGGTAATTAGCATTTAAATTTTTTTTAAATCACCAATTTTCTTTTACTTAATAATATTAACATAAAAGTATTTTTATGTTAACATTTAAATTTTATCTCTAAATATTATTCATTACAAAACTGGATGGAACATAAAATATTTTATTATAAAAAATAGCGTAATTGACGTGAACTTTCTCAGATTTTTTTTCTCTCATTATCATGGGGAACAACATTGATGCATATTAATTTTTGGTTAAGGCCAAAGATCTTCAATGTACGTAATTTAGTCTTTAATAAATCATACAATTGGCGATTTTCTTTGATTGCAATATTTTTTTAAAGACAAGAGAAAGTAGATTTCTCTTATGAACTTGACCCCACAGTTCCTATCTTCCAATTCTACTTCTAAGTTGGCCTAAAGCTTTTTTTATAGCTATCTCCCCCTGGAGGTAAACTTTCAATCAACTTCTCAGCAATACTTTCTTTCAAATATAACCTGTGATAGATGCAAAAATTTATCATAATTACATAATTTTTGAATTTTTATATATTTTTGGAAATTGTTCCCAAAAATCTTACCGATTTCTGATACCTCCAATAAAAACTGGAAGTTGAATTTTAGGATAACGTGACAGCATAGTTCTTGACAAAACATTCTCACCAAATACAGAATCTTCTTTCTCAGAACTTGCAAATTGTATGAGTTTCTGTTCTAAAAGACGCCAACAATTGATAAATGTTTCCGATTTATCAAATTCAGCCTCGCATGTTGCTTCATCAACTTCTCTAGCATTAAGATTGCCTTTGATTTTCTTTTCAGTGTCTATCAATAAGCTCGCTTTTTGTTCAATGAGTTTAAGTTTAAATAACTTGTCATCACTGTTTAAATTTGACAATTTCTTCATCAAAATCATTGCGAGCTTTCGAGAATAATCTTATTGTGTTCAAGCTTTCTTTAACTCGTCAATATTTTCAGAAGCCATATTTTGACTAAAGAACAAATTTTCACTCACGAATAAATCGTTTTAAAAACTCTATAGACTTACTCGATCTCAGATTTAACAACCCTTCCTGTCGCGGACGCCAGATGTTCCAAAATTAGCTAGACATCGAATCAGAATATCAAGAGTTAATCAAAAAACTTAATGACAAATAGGCGAACAGACGATACACACTTAAAAAATGTAGTCTTGTGAAAATAACTAAATAAAATGGCATATTAACACAAATGATGCTTCTCATATAAATTATAATTGTAATTTACTCATTTACCACATTAAAATTTGAAAAAAATACTTGAATTTAGTAGTATAATAACCTACTCTCAACATTGAAGCTTAGCAAAAGGAACTAAAGTGAGTAAACTAAAGTAAGATTGTTTATGCGAACCAAGAAAAAA